AGCAAGAAAATGTATAATTAGGAGCAGATAACTATCGATAATTGCTCATAATTATCGACATATTGATAACAACATTAGCAACTGATAACTATCAATATAATTCATAACTATCGACATCTACATCGATAGTTGTGGATATATCAATTTATTATCGATAACAATAAGCAACTTATAATTATCGATATGTATGTAGGTCCATCATTTTTAATTTATAGTAGGTATTGCTTCTAAAAAAATCCGTATAAAGTGTGTAACTGTTTAGTTTTTTACTAATTTTTTGATAGAAAATGTGTAATTTCAAAAACATTTAAAAAAAATCCATAACTACAATCATATCAATATTAAGGTGTTTCAAAAAATTGACTAGGTAGTTTATTTTTTTCGAAGAACATTGGAAAAACAATAGAGTATCCCTAGACGTACTCCATGACGTGTTGCTTGCAGTTTCCCTCTTATATAGGTAGAGGGTTTTTAAAGTAGTATGTAACATGCCGTTAAATTTAGTAACGTCCCCAATAAAGTGTCTCCATCATAAAACTCAGGTCAACAAGTTTTATGATCGATTACGAAAATCTGCCAGTTTTATCAGAAAACATTTCCAAATGTCAGTGGGTAGAAAAGGGAAAACTAAAAACAACTAACAAATTAAAAACAAATAATGGGGAAAAAGGGAATAAAGTAATGTTCTACTTGAAGTCTACTAATTTTATGCCAAGGTTTAAGGAAGGAAGTGTGTGTTTTTAAGAGTATATGCGCGTGTGTATGTTAAGTGAAGACAGTAACACACCTCATTCACGAGATACCGTCTAATCAACAACCAGCACGAGATGGATTTCGACTTTATGCGTGCTTAACAATTGCAAATGCCCCGGAAAATAAAGGCACACGTAGCAGCTCTTTAAAAGGTGCTTGCACAACGCTTTTTACCATTACGTTACAAGAAAACACAAAGGAAATGAAAATTGTCGAGGGAATCTGCCAAGGTGTTTGCTATGAAAAGAAACTTTTTTGCGACGGACATGGAGGAAATTCTTTTTGAACTCTTGCCATCCAGCACACAGTTTCAGTCATTACATACATATACACATAAATACCTACCAACAATACGAACAAGTCGTGGGTGGTGTGTCTCCTGTAGCCCACTGGGTACTTGGCGAAACATGATAAATAATATACGTAATACGAGTTTCTCAAAGGAAAACTGCTAGGTAAATGATCTCTAGCAATTGTTTCGACTGTTATGTCATTACCAAGGGTATCATTCATGTTCTATTTGATAATGACAGAGAAGCCGAAACAATTGCTTCGGCACTTAGTGAAAAATTATGTGTGAACAAATATGATAATAATAGTAAAACACTTTGCAATTTTCATGAAGAGAAATTGTTTCGGTTATTATTATGCCACTACCTATTACCAACAGTATACTTCATCTACTTTTTGATAACGCATAATATTGCTGCTAGTGTTTGAAGATGTAACATGTTTTTGGAGTACATTTTCTTCAGTAATATCTTCGCTCATCGAAAGCGTTGCTAATATAAATATTATACCTAACTAACACAAGTAGAATTAAATAAAATTACATCAGAATTTCTAGTATTTGGAAAATATATGGATTAATTCGTTTTATTACTGTACTGTGTCAAGTTTCAAATTTTTGCAAGTAAGAACGAACATTATATGTAAAGTTGTTGAATAGATTCGACCTTTACTTGATGAAAATCTATATCAATGAATAAAATAAGCCACCAAGATTTTCACAAGTAACAACTGTTTCGCCAATCTTGGCTTCCTCAGACTTCGAGTACTTGCTACTAATATTACAAAGTATTGTAGGTGTTTATACACAGTGTTACTGGGAGTAGTTCAAAACAAATTTAGAACTAAGGAATTATTACGTTCGGTTTGGTCATTTAGTAATACACTTAATTTTTTATAATTATTAATTTCTAAATTTTCAAGAAAAATAAGTATTTTCGTTTATTTTCTAAATGTAAAATATCATAAAATAGATATCCTTCCTCCCTAACGTGATTGGCGTAAGTAGAATCTATTATTTTTTTGATGTAACTATTTTTATGCTCACTTAATCTTTTTTTAAAATTTCTACCTGTTTGTCCTTTAT